GATGTCGGCTCATAAATATATATGTATATATTTATTATAAAATAACTTATCTACTTCGGTTTGTCAAACTGAGGCTGGACTTAGCCTATTTAGAATGCCCCTAAAATATAGGCAACATCCATGATGTCGGCCCATAAATATATATGTATATATTTAATATAAGATAGCCTAACTACCTCGGTTTGTCAAACTGAGGCTGCACTTAGGCATTTTAGAATGCCCCTAAAATTTAGGCAACATCCATTATGTCGGCTTACAAATATATATGTATATATTTATTATAAAATAGCTTATCTACCTCGGTTTGTCAAACTGAGGCTGCACCTATTCTATATAAAATGCCCCTAAAATATAGGCAACATCCATGATGTCGGCTCATATATATATATATATATATATATATATATATACACGACCCGACATCATGGTTGTTGCCTATATTTTAGGGGCATTCTAAAAAGCCTAAGTGCAGCCTCAGTTTGTCAAACCGGGGAAGATAGAATATTTTATAATAAATATATGCATATATATTTATTAGCCGACATATAAGATGTTGCCTATATTTTAGGGGCATTCTAAAATGCCTAAGTGCAGCCTCAGTTTGACAAACCGAGGTAGTTACGCTTTTTTATAATAAATATATACATATATATCTATTAGCCGACATCATGGATGTTGCCTATATTTTAGGGGCATTCTAAAATGCCTTAGTGCAGCCTCAGTTTGACAAACCGAGGTAGTTAGGCTATTTTATAATAAATATATACATATATATTTGTTAGCCGACATAATGGATGTTGCCTAAATCTTAGGGGCATTCTAAAATGCCTAAGTGCAGCCTCAGTTTGACAAACCGAGGTAGATATGCTATTTAGTAATGCGTTTATAAATGCGAGCATCGTCGATGTTGCCTTTATTCCAGGGGCATTCAAAATGGCGTAAAAACTGCCTGAGTTTGTTAAACTAAGGTAATTAGGCCATTAATAATGTATATATATAGAAGCAAGCATCGTAGGTGTTGCCTATTTTCAAGGGGCATCGAATTGGTTAGGTTATCCCACAATGCCTTGATGAATCGCAAATGCCGCTGCTAGCCTGCAGAGCAGGATAAACCATGCCTTGATGAATCGCAAATGCCGCTGCCAGCCAACAGAGCAGGATAAAGCAATGCCATGCGTTATACGTGGTTACCTCACGCCTCCGTGGTAACTTTGATAACTTTAATAATTTTTACCGGTTTTGGAAATTATTAATAATCCTTTTTAAATTGTTTCAGATTCACATCAAAATGTAAGAGAAAGAAATCAAAATCCCGAACGCTCACCCACGGACTACTTTATCCTATTGCACCACATTCATGTAGCAGGGCCTTGCTGTAATCTATCCAAATTTGCTCAAAACTTTTCGTCCCAAGTATCACTTTAACGCACGTCAGTGAATGATCGGAAATGTCCATTATGAATCAAGTTTAATACCTTAAATGTTAAGAGATAAAAATAAAATAAATAATTGGTCCATCGTCTTTGTCTCTTTTCAACATTTATTTTTTAGCCCCCCCCCCTCCGTGTCAATTTAGAACTTATATTAATGTGAGTTCGACACTCTGTACAGCATATAAGGAAGCGCCACGTTTCTTACGTCTAATTTGTTCTTTACTGTACTCTTTCACATAACCTCATAAGAGGGAAGAAGCATCAAATATTCTCACTAAATTCTTTTGACCATTTTCACTTTTCTCGCGAGGAATCCGTTGCAACAGACTTAAGACAAACTCGATAAAAAACTTTTCTCCCTCGAGTTTGTAAAAAAGGTAATTGTTTTACAACGTCCTCCTCATTTTCTAATTTCCGAATTAAGAAGAAACTTGGCAGAAGGAATAGCAATTCAGAAATCAATTCTCGCAAAGGAACAAGAAGAAATTCCAGTATGTTCAGTAGTCAAGGGAAAAAAATGGGGGGGGGGGGGTGGTGATGCTTAAATTTTAAGCCAATAAGGGAATATTCAAATTTGCCTTGTGCCACGAACATCGCCCACACTGAAAAAATGGTATGCTGTCTTAGGTAGCACCTAGCACCTAGGATGTCAAAAGTGTGTCTGGTGATCCCAAGAGGCTGCCTTTACTGCCCTGGCAGTTATCTTTACATCCTATGAATGCAAATTCAACTGCGTGTGCAATCAAGGTAGCATCTTAGGATCACCAGACATATTTTTGACATCCAAGGTGCTAAAACAGCATACCATTTTTTTCAGTGCAGGAACTCGGCAATACTATTCTTTACAGAGCGCTATTAGTTTCCGTAAAGTTCAGCAACAAGAAAAAAAAAGTATTCGAAATTCCTGAAAGGGCGTCGACGTACAAAGTTTGAAACGAGAATATATTCGGATTAAGGTACATGAAAATTCAGGTTAAAAAAATTGTTTGAAGAAAAGCAATTGATGGTGAGTCGCAATTTTCCGTCTTCTTTTCAAAATATCCCGCTTTTTTTTAAATTCCCGCCACCATTTTCCGTCACACACGATCCAGACGACCAACCTATGCAATTTTGTTCCAGTTTTTGACTATTCGTTTTCACTGTATTTTCCGTGCCTTTTAACTCGCTGATAACTCCAAAAATCCACCAGAGCGGTGTAATGGATAAAAAATTATTTTTAAGACATTAACAATGACGTCATAGATGGAATCACGGAACATAGATTGGATTCTGAATTTTTTTTTTTTACACCGGAACGTTGCCTTTCCGAACGAGTCCTCTCTTACATGTGCAATATCAAACCGTCACCAATTCGGAGGGCCTTCCATTCTTACTGAATTATCGTCACTACCGGACTGAATAGTTTCAATTAAATTAAACAATGTTGTCTAGCAATCTTTCATACAGTTACGTTTGCTCTAATGAGTCTATTATTAGTCCCCGAATAAATGGTAAATGCTACCTCGGTGAAGGTTGATCGTGTAACCTAGGCCTCCGCTCGTCGTAGCTAGAGTACCTGTATAGCGAGAGTATGGACAGATGTGAAACTCCGAAAATCCATCAGGCCTTCACCGATGCTTCTGCGAATAAAGTTAGGGCCCAGAAATGCAGCCAACCTATGAATTTCAATTATCCAGAACGATTTACTAATACTAATGTTACGAACCGTCGTTTATTAAGCACGTGTTTGACTCAGTTTTTGCATAAATTTACTCAATTTCGCGGAAGAACGCTCATTTCTGTACATTCTTTGCCATCATGGTTAGAATTGGAATCTGCAGACTGGCAGTGAAATTTTGTGCGTTAGAAGTTGGTTAGAAGGGTGGCTGCACTTTTGGGCCCTAAGCCCTCCATGAAGCGATCTGTCCATACTCTCGCTATACAGGTACTCTAGTCGTAGCCATACGGTTTTTTTGAGGTTATATGTAAACAAACTGTATTTACATCTATCTATCTGTACTTCCTTTCCAAAAATTTAATTCTTCCCCCTTCTTGTCGTCTCAATTTATCATTTTCCCTCTCGGAAACATCAGTTCACGTACCGGCGTGTGTTTGTCTGTTCACTGACTGCCCGTGCAGGATAAAATGAAGGAAGTTTTTATCCCGCTGGAAACCACCTTTCATGTTCATCGCAAACCAGTTTCACTCAAATCAAAGTTGCTGTTACAGTAAATGTCAACATAATACAAGCTTCAGTACCCGTACGTAAGTATCTCCACGGAGGAAAACAGTCTTTTAGCATGCACACTTAGTTATCGACCAATAATGTTTCTACCTGGAGCGATTTCAACCTTGTTCCGTTGAAGAGCTCCAAATCATTGCTAAAGTGCATGGAATGAGCTGACGAAGAAAGGGCGCTGAACAGAAGGGAATTGGGAAAGGACAACGCATCATTCCACCTGCCCATGTTTATACATTTACGGAGAAGCGCCGGTAATTGGGAAGATTTACTGATAGAGCATATCGCTGGTTCTGTACGAACGATGCGTTGATATTTGACAGAATCGATCCTCTCTTGAACAATTCTGTTCAAAATCTGCTGGTTCAATGTTCTTTCACACTGTCTTATCCTGACTCTTGGTGAATGTTCGAAGCGTAGTAAAGGTTATCGATCGTCTATGTAAACAAACTTGATGCATTCGATAGGAAGCCCAAGTAGTCTGTGAAAGTTGCAAAGAACTCCGGTTCTCAGTGCTAATGGCAATTGATTCATGCCAACTCTCTCCGGATCAGGGCCCTTTCTAACACATGCATACGTAGAATTGGTTTCAAGAAGTTTAAGAACTCACCGACTTGAAATTGCGTTCCAAATGAAATCGATGAAAGAGAGACAAATAACTTGTTTAACAGTCACATATTGAAGGGACGTGAACCTCCCATCCACAAGTGGAGAACAGAAAGCTCTGTGGTGATCCAAAAAAACCGCTCGTTCAAGGTACACTGCAAAGAAAGAAAAAGTTGTGATTTTAAATTTAGTTCACTTAAATGCCTCAAGTTCAAACTGTAACGCAGCTGTCTGATCTGTCTCCCATCATTTTTATCAGCTCCCTTTCACCTCACTAATCTTAAATTACATAGATTAAGTTTTAAAGCAACTCAGGTTACACTCTAAAGAAAACAGAATGTATGCTTTTCGCTTCGTTATGCTGATTAAGTTTTAATCGATCGTCTATGTAAACAAACTTGATGCATTCGATAGGAAGCCCAAGTAGTCTGTGAAAGTTGCAAAGAACTCCGGTTCTCAGTGCTAATGGCAATTGATTCATACCAACTCTCTCCGGATCAGGGCCCTTTCTAACACATGCATACGTAGAATTGGTTTCAAGAAGTTTAAGAACTCACCGACTTGAAATTGCGTTCCAAATGAAATCGATGAAAGAGAGACAAATAACTTGTTTAACAGTCACAAATTGAAGGGACGTGAACCTCCCAAACCACAAGTGGAGAACAGAAAGCTCTGTGGCGATCCAAAAAAACCGCTCGTTCAAGGTACACTGCAAGGAAATAAAAAGTTGTGATTTTAAATTTAGTTCACTTGAATGCCTCAAGTTCAAACTTTAACGCAACTGTCTGATCTGTCTCCCATCATTTTTATCAGCTCCCTTTCACCTCACTAATCTTAAATTACATAGATTAAGTTTTAAAGCAACTCAAGTTACACTCCAAAGAAAACAAAATGTATGCTTTTCAATCTTATTTCTCACACAAGTATCGAGTTGAAAGTATATCGGAAAACTGCTGGACTAATTAGAGATTTTTGAGCCGTCTCCCATTATTTTTATCACCTCGCTCTGACTCCACCAGGCTGGTAATACATAAATAATTCTATATAACAACTCAACATTCTTTCTGAAGCCTTCCCTAACAAAATTGCATATTACAACTTTCCTCTAACTTCTCTCTATTCCAGGCCAATTCGATTTGCCAGAGAGATGAAATTCAACGCCAAGCGTCCTCCTCGCAGCCATGCAATAAACATATTTACACAACTTTTTTTCACATCCAGTAAGCAACATTTGGTAAGTCTTTCATATTAATTTCCCTTGACTGTCACCACTTGAAAGAATTTATTTCTCATTTGGACATTTTAAGAAAATCCTAAGACAGCATCCATCCTCCAAAATGTAAGACTCCTGAGTAGGTGCTTCTAAGAAATGTATTTCACAAGCCTCCTTGCCTCCTGGATACCGTTTCAATGGTCAAGAAGTATTTTCAAAAGTACACTTAATGACGAGAAAGCACTCTGCACTACAAGTCTGAATTTTACCAAAAGTTATTGAGATCCGAGTTTAGCAAGAGAGTATAAAATGATTCATTTTTCCGACGTTGCGTAAAAAAATTAGTAGTTAAAAATTCTCCTTCCATTTTGAAACGGTTTCAACCTTCAATAAGTATATTTTACAGTTAGTACTATCTAGAGAAACTACTCTGCCACTTAAGGAACGATTAATTCAAAAATTATTACAGTTTCAATTTCGATCAAGCGCTTAAAATTCGAGATTTCCTGGACTTCAGATAAAAAAATCATTCTTAAAAATAGTCTTTGCCTTTCGAAAACGGTTTCAACGGTGTATAAGTATATTTTACAGTTAGTACTAACTAGAGAAACTACTCTGCCACTTAAGGAAGGATTATTTCTAAAGTTATTAGAGTTTTAGTTTCGATCAAGCTCTTAAAATCTTAGATATCCTCCTCTTCACGCAAAAAAACCAGTCTTACAAATTCTCTTCGGCTCTTGAAAACGGATTCAAGCATCAATAAGTATATTTTACAGTTAGTAGTAGCCAGAGAAATTACTCTGCCACGTAAGGAACGATTATTTCAAAAATTGTTACACTTTTAGTTTCGATCAGGCGCTTAAAAGTTGAGATTTTCCGGAGACGACGTAAGATAATCATTCTTAAAAATTATCTATGGCTTTTGAAAACGGATTCAAGCATCAATAAGTATATTTCACAGGTATTACTAGCTAGGTAAACTTCTCTGTCACTTAGGTATGGATTATTTCGAAAGTTATTACAGTTTCAGTTTCGATGAAGCTCTTAGAATTTTAGATTTCCACCACTTCACGCAAAAAAATTAGTCTCAAAAATAGTCCTTGCCTCCTGGAAACGGATTCAAGCATCAATAAGTATATTTTACAGTTAGTACTAACTAGAGAAACTACTCTGCCACTCAAGGAACGATTAATTAAAACATTATTAGAGTTTCAGTTTTGATCAAGCTCTTAAATTCTTACATTTTCTTCACTTCACGTTAAAAAATCAGTCTCAAAAATCCTCTATGGCTTTCGAAAACGGTTTCAACGGTTAATAAGTATATTTTACAGTCAGTACTAGCTGGAGAAACATCTCTGACACTTCAGGAACGATTATTTTGAAAGTTATTAGAGTTTTAGTTTCGATGAATCACGTAAAATTTGCAATTCTCTCAACTTGACGTAAAAAATTAATTCTTAAAAAAAGTCTTTGGCTCTTGCAATCGGATTCAACGGTTAATAAGTATATTTTACAGTCAGTACTAGCTGGAGAAACATCGCTGACACTTTAGGAACGATTATTTTAATAGTTATTAGAGTTTTAGTTTTGATAAAACGTTTGAAATTTGCGATTTTCCGAAGTTCGAAACTAAAAGAGTAATAACCAGTCTCTAACGGGTTTTCCACCATTATTTTCTCCTTCCTCTGACTCCAAGTACCTTAAAATACATAAATAATTCTATAATACAACTCTACTTTCTCTCCAAAGACAGAATATCTGTGATTTCAAAACTCGGTTGTCGAAAATTGGTAAAATTCCATGTATGGCCTACAAGTGATCCAGTAATAAAAAATTTCTTAGCCGTCTCCCATCATTTATTTGAGCTTCCTCTGACTTCACCAATCCTGAAATACATGGATTAAGTTTTCAAACAACTCTCATTTCTCTCCAGAGGCAGAAAAGGTGTCATTTTAAAACTTGATTCAACAAAATGCGTAAAATTTCAATACTTCCGTGAAACTGATCCAGTGATAAAAAATTTCTCAGCCATCTCCCAATATTTTTATTAGCTCTCTCTGACTTCGCAACCTTAAATTACATAGATTAAGCTTTAAAACATTTCTCATTTCTCTCCAGAGACCGAAAAGGTGTCATTTTAAAACGCAAAATCTGAAAAATGAAAAAAACTGAAACTCCTGACGATAGTGTTCCAGTAATAAAAAAATTCTGAGCCGTCTCCCATCATTTGTGTGAGCTCCCTCTGACTTCAACAATCCTGAAATACACGGATTAAGTTTTCAAACAACTCACATTTCTCTCCAGAGACCGAAAAGGTGTCATTTTAAAACTTGATTCAACAAAATGCGTAAAATTTCAGTACTTCCGTGAAACTGATCCGGTGATAAAAAATTTCTCAGCGGTCTCCCAATATTTTTATTAGCTCCCTCTGACTTCACATACCTTAAATTACGTGGATTAAGCTTTAAAATAACTCACATATCTCTCCACAAACCGAAGAGGTGTGCTGTTAAATCGTGATTGACCAAAATGGGCAAAATCTCAAGGCGCTCGTTAAACTGATCCGATGATACAGAATTCCTCAGCCGTCTGACTTCGTTCGTAATGGCTTCCTGTGACTCCAACAAACCTAAATTACACAGATTAAACTTTAAAACAACTCAAAATTCCTTTCATAGACAGAAAAGGTGTGATATTAAATCTCGATTCAACAAAATGCGTAAAATCTCAAGACGTCCGTGAAACTGATCCAGTAATAAAAAATTTCTCAGCCATCTCCCAATATTTTTATTACCTCCCTCTGACTTCACATACCTTAAATTACATGGATTAAGCTTTAAACCAACTCACATATCTCGCCACAGACCGAAAAGGTGTGATATCAAATCTCAATTCAACAAAATGCGTAAATTTTCAAGACCTCCGTGAAACTGATCCAGTAATAAAAAATTTCTCAGCCATCTCCCATCATTTTTATCTACTTTAATCGACTCTACCAACCTTGAAGTTAGTGGATTAATGAATAAAACAGCTTAACTAGCATTAAATTTATGGATCATGTGTGAGTTTCAACTTTCATGATAGATGTCGTCCTGTATTGCGCAGAATTTCCACGCATGTATGTGGAATGTTATAGTTTGAGGGTCTATTGCTCCTTTATTTTCTTTGTTTTCCTCATTGTATCCACACTAAAATGACATTGTATCCACAATGAAATTTCAAGCAGCCGCCAAAAGAGGGCAATTATTGAACATATTTTCAGGGGCTGGGTATGCAACACGCGCCAAGAAAAACGAAGGAGTACCATCTTGATGCGATATTGCCAAACCTCGTTTCTCCAATTTGCGACGTTGCCAAATTCCTGTACTTTTTACTCCTCTTTTCTCTGAAAATTAGGAAACGCCGCTTTTTGAGACGCTCCTCTCTCTTACTTTTGTCTATGTATCAAGAAAAAAAAGTGGCTTGTTTCCCTTCCCAAAAAATAGAGCAAAAACGGAAATTTTGAAACACCTCTACGGAGATACGTCGTTTCTCACCTTGGCCATTGATCAGTCTCTCATTTAAATTTAAATTAAAAAATTATTCTTCCATACCCTCTATTCTTTTCAATATTCCGTACAAAAATTAAATTTTTTTTTAAAAAAATGGCAACCCTGGACGAAGAGTCTGAATGAACCTTTTACCGCGTAACTTTCTGGACGAATTTACATGCTCGCCGCGGAGTAAATTAAACTTATGTAAATTAATTTATGCACTTGTTTCTCACCAATTTTCGGATGATAGAATGCTCCTGATCGTCGCACCACTAACTTCCAAAAAGAAACATCTCGAACTGGAGGAGGCTCCGGCCGCGAAATCTCGAAGGGAGAAAAACCCCCTCTCTGGTCTCATGCTCCCCGCGTAGGCATCGACTTGGTGTAAAATTTATCAAAATAATGAAGAAATGTAAGGAACGGGATAGGGACGACGGCGAAGGAAACATTCGCTCGTCGAGCGTCCTCGCTTGGCAACACGGCCTACGACGATAAGGATTTTATTGCTTTGCACCCCTCAAGTCGCCGAGACCGATGCCGACCACGTGCGCTTGTGCAGTCCTGGATCGCGAGAATTCAGATTTTCACAACGGAGATTTCTTTTCTCTGCTCCTACTTTTTCGTGGTTAAATTATAATAATGGATGACGCACAATACTGGACAACTACACTTTAAACAGCAAATTTTAGCAAGTCGAAAACCACTCATCAACGAATATCGCGACTGAGTTGTTCGGGGAAGCTGACGTCGATTCTCGCGCGACGAATACCATCGCCGCTTCTCTGCAATAAGGACGTATCACAGTCTCCCAGTGAGCCTCGTGCCTTGTATAAGGGTATTCTTTACCGGGCTCATGTGGAAGCAGAGCTAGGCCATGTCGTCAGATTTATTAAAGGAATTGAAATTTTGAAAACTTTCCGGACGGTCTCTAATTTTTATGCATGCAAGGTCCTTGAGAGCACACGTTTCAAATCGCATATCTCCGTAATGATTTGTGGGGGAAAGGGCGCAACTTTAATTGGACTACATTTTGCAATTTGGAACTATAAATTCGAGCCCGGTTTAAAAACAACTTAAGTGCCATTAGTTTCTCTATGCACATAAGTGTTTTTCCAGAAGAGCCAGAATTTATATTTCCAAATTGCAAAATGCAGTCCAATTTCCCTTACATCTTTTGCGGGGAACAAAAAATTTCAAAATTGATAGTCGGAGGGGGGGGGGT